CCATTGGCTACACTTTTACCTATTTGGTGTGTTTCCTCACACACAGGAAACATATCAAAATGGAAACTGTAGATGCTGTTCAAAGGACAACATGGCCCTTTTCTCCAAAATGACTATACCTATAAACAATCCATTAAAACGAGAATTGGCACCCTAAATTATAAAGCAAAGTTCACATATTCTGGTTTCTAACTCAATAGACTCATTGTTTTTTCCCCCCTTTAATGTTTGTTTTACACCTGAGTAATAAAATAGGAGTATATAATTAAAATCCTCAGATTCATAATTATAAGCTCTAATGCAGTATAATTGTTGAGTCATTTGATGATTCCCCCAGTAATTATGCCTCTTAGTAATTCCAAATATCACTTTACCATAAAATGTGATCATTGTCAGCCTTTACTCAATATACTGGACTGAATGAAAAATATTGTTTATTTCCATACATAGTCTATGGCCTACATTCATCCATTGCACTTATTTTATCAAAGACGGAAAAATAATGAAGCCATAAAAATAATTTTCTGCCTAAAATATGATTAAGTAAACATCTCTCTAGTAGAGAACTCCTCGGGGCATTTAACATGTGCATTTTTAATTTAGAGGAGATGTGAAGACATTATTTCCTGAAATCATTTAATCACAGGATCTTTTATTTTTCTCATGGAGTTAGTGTTTTGTGGAAGCAATTTGAGAATTGTTGGTATGATGGGAAACATATAGGGTTTAGAGCAAAATGGATTTACAACTCCACTACTTACTCTTTTGGTAAATTACTTGAGCTCTATTAGTCTAAATATTCCTCATCTATAAATTAAAGGCATAATACTCTAGCTTATTGATTTATTCATTAATATCAGAGCAGACAATAGCATCTACTTCAGGAATTAAATGGGAATTCAATTATATAAAGTATATTCCTGTTACATGATTAACAGTTAAGAGTTATTAATTGCATTATTAGTGTCAGACATCAGGCTCCAAACAGTGGTGAGCTCTTGCCCAGATTAGAGCATGTTTTTCTCTGAATCAACATGAAGACTCAAACAAATGAAGATGATTGCCCTGTCATCAGGCGTGATCTACTGTGTCAGAACAATGTGTATAGGAGTATGCCTAAGTGTAAGCTTCTACAGCCAACTCTAACATGTCATTCCACGTTTGGTAAAATTCACAAAGAACACTGCATTAGCCTTCCAAATGTGGCCCCAGAAACTTCTCTTCGGAGAAAAGTACAGAGCCAGGGCCAGAGAATTTACTCTATATGAACAGGCATTTGGTAGTCCTTCATTTGAAACAAATTACTTGCATTAATTGGCTAGTAAGTCACTGTAATTGCATGGTAGAGGCACAGTTAAACCCTTTGGACCATGCTGTGCTTTCTATCCTAGAATGTCAACATGGTGGTGAGCTGCCAAGGAGAGCACCAAGGAAGCAATATGATACCTGATTCTCTTTTGGCTGGAGTTGCTCAGCGCTAGATTCAGTACTATAATCTTGAACGTGGTGATTTGGAGCAATATGCATGATTAGGAGCCTTAATTGCATGTTGTAAAGGAAGCTGTGACCTTTCCAGTCCCATTCTGGTTGTGGTATTGTTCTACTGGGAGGAGGAGGAGCACATGGGTGGGAAGGGCTGAGAACAGCAATGGGTTTTTGTGTGTAATTACTTGAGGGTATGCAGTGCTTTTAAAAATCGTGTGGACAATGCCCCAAATATTAGTGCCCATCCATTTATTTATTTTTAAATTTGTAAAAGTTAAATTGCCTTGAATTGTAACTACCAGTAAATTATAAATGTTGAAAGAATAGATGAACATGTACAATTCTCTCATTTTTAGCCAATTTGGAAAAGTGATAATGGTAAATTATAAATGTTGAAAGAATAGATCAACATGTACAATTCTCTCATTTTTAGCCAATTTGGGAAAGTGATAACAACATTAAAAATTAAAAACATGATATTCTTGTCTACCAGTCCATTAGCTAAAAATGTTACTGCTTAATAATGCCAAAACCATTCCACACAAGCATCAAAAATTATGACAGTTGTATAAATTTTGTTATTTGTAAGATATTCAACAGTTTAAAAATGACCTTCAAGTTCATTGTATATAGTAGGAGAGAAAGAAATAGGACAGAGGACAAAGCAGATGGCCTTTCCCCAACTTTACAGTTGAAACAGAAGGACAGAATGTTAAATGAATTGCGGCAGAGGAGTTAGGATTTAAAGCCGAGCCTCTTGCCACAGAGTCCATCACGTCCTCCCTCTGTGGTATCGTAACTGGACGACACCCATCCTGAAAATACACTGCATTCCCAGGGCACCGTAACCCGAGGATGAGGCCCAGTGCTGTGAAATGCAAATTCATTTTGCCAGAAACCTGTATTGTTTCTCAATAGTGTGTGGATAGCCAAGGTCCTCAAGAACAAGATGAAATGGCTGGGCCTCTTCTGTCAACACCTAAGGACTCGCTGGGCCTGCCTGCACAGGTGGAATGTGCTAGAAGGGAAGCGATTACCCAGACAGCCCACCCTCATTCATGTTCACCTGCAACATCCTGATGTTTGAGGCGGAAGGTATGCTTCGAACCTGAATTGTGACATAATGCACTGATTATCCCTGTGGTTTTCCATGTGGATGCAGTCACATGGAAAACCATCAGGCGCTGATATTCTCTGCCCCAAACCATAAATTACCTCCAAAACAGCATCCTCTGGATCCATGGCTGCTGCTCTGAAAATGACTATGCCCGGGGCAGTGTCTTCCAGGATATAAATCTCAGGAACTGCCAGAAAATGGGTGATAGATATTATAAGCCCCAAAGCCCCTCATTCACTCCTGGATTTTAGATAAAACCGAAGGTACTGTGCTTGCTCAGCACAGACGTTTCCACAGGGTGATTCCCATTAGCCATAATAATCATAGCCATATAATAAAAATAGGCACCATTTGTCAAGTATTTGTCGTGTGTCAGGTAGAGAGCAAAAAGATTTACAAATTTAAACAGTAACAATATTGAACCTTTTCTGATTGCTGAGCAATTGACATCCTTGGTGCATTATTATTTCCGTTTTATTGAGTTTAGAAAGATTGAGTGACTCACTCAAAGTCACCCAAGTCATCTATCTATATGGGTCTTGTGTGTGTAATTACTTGAGGGTATGCAGTGCTTTTAAAAATCATGTGGGCAATGCCCCAAATATTAGTGGCCATTCATTTATTTATTTTTAAGTTTGTAAAAATTAAGTTGCCTTGAGTTGTAACTACCAGTAAATTATAAATGTTGAAAGAATAGATCAACATGTACAATTCTCTAATTTTTAGCCAGTTTCAGAAAGTGATAACATTAAAAATTAAAAACATGATATTCTTGTCTATCAGTCCATTAGCTAAAAATGTTGCCTCTTAATAATGCCAAAAACCATTCCATACAGCATCAAAAATTATGACAGTGGAATTAATTTTGTCATTTTGTAAGATATTCTACAGTTTAATATATATATTTGGCTAATTTGCAAATTGTCCCCTCAGGAGTTCGACCGAGGAGTTTGATGGTCGCTATGATGTACACTGACCACCAGGGGGTAGCAAGGAACAAAGAAAGGCCCCAAAGCAGTAGCTGGAAGGAAGGCCCTGGCAGATCCTGTTCGCCAGCCAGGTCTAGGGAGCCTACCTGTGCACAAATTTCGTGCACTGAGCCTCTATATATTAATATTACTAATGATTTTTTAATGCCTGTCTTTTCCTCAAGATTTCCCTCTTTCTATCTGTTTTTAAACTGTGGTGAGCCCTGACTGGTTTGGCTCAGTGGATAGAGCATTGGCCTGTGGACTGAAGGGTCTCAGATTCAATTCTGGTCAAGGGCATGTACCTTGGATGAGGGCACATCCCCAGTAGAGAGTGTGCAGGAGGCAGCTGATGGATGTTTCTCTCTCATTGATGTTTCTAACTCTCTATCCCTCTCCCTTCCTCTCTGTAAAAAAATCAATAAAATATATATTTTTTAAAACTGTGGCATCCACAAACCTGCCCATTTACTGCTCAAACTACTCTCCCAGGGCCAGGAGCACTGCAGTGCCTGAGGGGATCACCCACCCCAGCAGAAGCTGCAGCACCATTCTGCCAGGCGGCATGATTTGTGGATAACAAACGAGTCCACGGCCTGTTTGGACCACAGCCAACCTGGCACGAGGCTCACTGTTTCAGAAGGCTAAAGAATACAACTTCCCCTTGAATCTGTCCTTGAGGAGTTTCTCATCTGCTAGGGAAAGGAATGGAAGAAGGCTAACATTTATTCAGCACCTACTGCATGCCCGGCACTATGGTTGGCACAGTAACACACTGTCTTCGGGGAGCTTCCTGGATTGGGATTAGTACCTGTGCAACCAAGGAGGAACTGAGGCTCAGGCGGGATTCGTATCTCTCTTCAGCTTTTGGCCACCCCAACACCTAAACCTCAAGTGATCATTTTCCATAGAGAACATGAGTTGTCCACATGCAGGAGTTAAATACTTGGCTACATAGAAAGTCAGAGATGAGAAAGACAGAGACAAGAGTGTGAGATTCACATGAGGTGAAAATCAACTGGAGAGAGAGCAAGAAGCTTCTAACTTAATGACAGACACACTGTTAATTAAATAATCACACCCATAAAAGAGTAACTAGAGTACATCATAACCAAACAGAAAAATAAAGGTTTATTAAAATATATATTTATTGATTTCAAGGAGGAAGGGAAAAGGAGAGAGAGAGAGAAAGAGACAGAGAGAGAGAGAGAGAGAGAGAGAGAGAGAGAGAAACATCAATAACGAGAGAGAATCATTGATTGACTGCCTCCTGCATGCCCCCTACTGCAGATCGAGCCCACAACCTGGGTATGGGCCCTTGACTGGAATCGAAGCTGGGACCCTTCAGTCTACAGGCCGATGCTCTAACCACTGAGCCAAACCAGTAAGGGCAGAAAAATAAAGTTTTTAACACTGAGCAAGTTACTTTCCTTTCCTAAGCCTGTGGCCTCATCTATACAATACAAACATGAATAGCACCCACCCTCAGAGCTCTGAGAATTTCATGAACTAACCCACCTGAGGCCCTCACTGTCAGGACAGCCCCTGCTCTACAGTGAGCACCAGATGGGTGTCAGCCCATCAGCATTTGTTTTGTGAGCATTAGTCTCCTTCTCTCTCCTACAGCCATAACCTTGTGAGAGCACAAAGGACCCAGGACACAGGGCCACAGTCCAGACCCAGGCGACCCTTCTTCCCCCAAGCGGAGAGCTCTGTACCTCGGTCTCTCTGAGCAAGGGCTCCCCTGAAGGTGGGCGGCTCGTTCACATCGGCAATCTGGATCAAAACGGTCTGGGATGCTGTCGCCCCCTGGCTGTCCTTGGCATAGAGCACCAGGGAGTAGAGAGGCACCGTCTCGAAGTCCAGCCTGGGTGCCCCCGTGGTGAGCAGCTGCATTAGACAAAGGAGTGCGGAGTAACGGAGCAGATGAGTGGCTTCATGAGGGTGTCGACAGGGTATTCTGCATCTATCATCCCCAGTACGAGTCAGCATTTGTTAAAAAGAGGTAAAAATCATGCGTTTAAAATGTGGAAGCAGCATGATCTGATTTATTGAAAACCTCCGTGAACAGAGAATTCCCACCTTTCCATGTTACTCTTCCTAATGACGGAGTTTAGGGTCTCCCAACTCTAAATTATCAGGGGTTATTTTAAGTGTTTAACAAACATGCCATTCTCTTCTTTTTAATTGCAAAAAGGGTATTATTGGATGCATTTTACAGATGCAGGAACTGAGGGTGAACAGGTTAAACATTTTGTCCAACTTTTCAGAGAGAAATGCAACAGCTCATGCTCTTAATCATGAGCCTAAACTGCCTTGCACCTGAAGTGGATGAAAAGGGAGCCAGACATTGCTCTCAGTTCTTCACCTCATTTAAATGTGGGGGGAAAAAACAAAAAAGTTGTGAGGGAGATGCTATTCTTACCACCATTTCACAGATTATGGATTATATAACACAGCTGGGAGAGTCACGCCGCAGGAAGAGGAAGGCCTGGCCCTGCCTCCTGCAGGCCGGCCCCAGGACCTTTGCACTGACCAGCTCTATGACTGGTGGTGACACTTGAGTGCCACCCTCCATGGCCATGAGAAGTCAGTCATACATGCCTATTGGACAGCTCTCCTCCCCTGGGCACCTAACACAGAATGGACACTTGATCTCCTTGATTCACAGAGCAAAGGTCATTCTCATCCTCATGATGCCACCGGTGAGGACACGGAGGCTCAGAAGTTAGAAGCCCGAGTCATTCAGCTCCGGCGCGACAGAGCTGACATGGAAAGCCGGGTCTCCAGACTCTGAAGTCTCTTTTCTTTCCATCGCACCCTGACGCTTTGATACCTTCGTTTAATACTACAGCCGGATTGAAGATGTGTGGGATTTCGAGCTGTGATATCGGACCTTCTTGCCCCGGGAGCCTAGGGCAGGCCCTCCTACTGGGGCTCCCTGTGCCCTGGGAGGCCTGGGGCGGGAGTGGGGGCGGCACTTGTCCTCCTTGCTCCCTGGCACTTTCTACAATACCAGGCTTCTCAACAAACACTGAATTTTTAAAAACTCAAATGCTTATTCTTTACACTTTGCAGTGGAAGAAGGCAGGAAGATGGTTGAAGTCACCCCCATCCGGGCAAAGTGCTCGCATGCAGGGTACCTTGAATTCCTCTTCCATCCCTCCAGTGCCAGCCACTTGTGCTGCTAGGTGACAGGTAGCAATTTGGTGATTACGTAACAGGAGCAAGCCTTGACTCATCTCCATGAGATTTTGATTTATCTGTGTAATCAGCTCACTGCAAGCTCTGCTGCTGTTTTGACCATTTTTTTTTTTTAATAGAGCCTTCCCAGTAGCCCCTCCTAAGCTCAGCTCAGCTTTTTGCAAACTGAATAAGCCTACATCCTGCAAGGAAAGAAGTTCAAGAAAGGATAATAATATGCTAACCCTCAAATAGAACAGAGTATGCCCTTTACACTGGAATGCTGTGGAGACAAATATCCGCTCATCGAGTTGTGCCTTTATCTGCAGATTTTTCCATGATAGAAAACTTTCATAATTAAACTGTTTCTAAGGCTCTCTAGAGCTGGCCTATGATGCAGTTATTATGATGTGACTTTCTTGCAGCTTTATTGTCTGTAGTTGGACAATAGTGCCGAATATTAAGGTATAAATACATGTATTAGGTAACTGCTGCTCAGTGTTCATTCCTTATTATGGGCCAAGCACTGAGGTGGCACTTGGCACGCGTTGTCTGACAGGACCTACTGAGCAAAGTGAAGTCTTGTTATTATTAATCTCTGAGTGAAGTCTTGTTATTATTAATCTCTTTGTACGAAAAATAATAACAAAAAGCACCGAAGCACAGCAAAGTCAAGTAACTGACCCAAGGTCACCTTGCTGCCAGTGGAGGAGTTGTGGTTTAATTCTAGGCTTGTCGTCCCCTAAAACCTGTGCTGAGAACAGCTGGGATTCACTACCTTACAGGAAGAACAAAGCCAAACTAAAGTAAAATCAATAAGCTTAAACTACTGAACACTCTTTGCTGACATTTTGCTGTTTAGACTCATTTTGAAATCTAATAAGTGCGTGAACAGCATTTCGTACTTCACCGAAGTTGGAAGCAAATTTAAACTCTGACAATCCCAAGGTTTGGCAAGGGCACTCAGCAGCCTCCTGCTAGACAGGTTCTGCCCCTCTGTAGCTGCTCCTCACAGCAGCCAAAGTGGGCCCCATGAGATGTAAGCAAATCATCTTTCCCCCCGCCACAAAATTCCCCAATGGTTTCTTAGATGTGGTGGCAAACTGCCTGTCCCCAAACCTTTAGTCTTTCCTCTAACATGTCCTTTGCCATATGACTCTGCAATTCCCCCACTAAAAGCAGTATGCCATTCCATGGCATGGGCACGTGACCGCAACAGAGAGGTTACATCATTTGCCCAAAGCAATAAATTCAAACCAGGATCTGAACCCAGGTGATTTGACTCCAGAGTCCCTGGCTCTTAACCACATTCATCCTGCATCTCATGGTCATTTAGGTATCTTCCCACCCTACCCATCCCAGAATCTCTTGAAACCAGGAGTCAGTTCTGATGCTCCTACGTAAGATGCCTCGCTCCTAAGGACTTTACTACTCAGAACATGGCAAGCAGCGTGAGCTTCACGCTCATCTGGTCCTCTGGCTCCCAGTTCCCATGGGCGGATGCAGAGGGTCCCGGACAGATGCTGCGCCTACAGCAGGCTTACTTCATATTTGAGGAACCCTGAGCTTAGGAATCCCCAGTCTTCTCAAATGAGCAATAAGCCTGCCTCAGGGGAAATTAGCTTTATTATACCAAATGGTGAACGGAATTTCCTAATAAGTCTCACTGCCCTGAGGGCTCTGCCTACCCACTCCTTCACAGCCTAACTCTCACCACACCTACCCATCAGCTCTGGCCACTTGGGCCTCCTCTAGATCTCATCACCTCTCTACACTCCTTGCCACAGGGCCTTTGCACATGCTCCACCTGAAGTTTTTCTCTCTCTCTCTCTCTCTCTCTCTCTCTCTCTCTCTCTCTCTCTCTCTCTCTCTCTCCCTCTCTCTCTTTCTTCATCTATTTAATTCCTATTCATTCTGAAGATTGCTTATCATGTAGCTCTTCCTCAGGGAAGTCTGATAGGTCCAATGTCCCTCTCAGGTGCATTCACAAACCTGCAGGCCTGTCTTTCTCGGTTCTTGTTACTTGTGTGAGTGTTCACTTTAACAGTAGAGCTCCCGTGAACTAGTAAACACAATCAGGGTGAGGATGGGGTTCCACCAAGAGAGCCCCAGGACCCGCCCTGTCTGAGGAGGTCCTCAATAGATCTCTGTAACATAAATGCTTCTTGATACCCTCAAGAGTTTTTAGGGGCTCTGGAACACATTTGGGTCCCCAATGAGTGGGTGCTAAACAATATGAGTAGAAGGTAAGGAAGGCAAGGATGGCAGTTTCATTTTAGAAATCTGTGATGATACTTTTTACCTTGATACTTACTTCCCACTGATGTGTAGATTGACGAGATAGCACAAATGGGTGGACCACCGGGTCGGCATTAATGATAACAGGATCTCCAAGCAGAGAAGCGGAAGGTGAGACAGATACAGTGATTATGGCAACCCTTGTGTGTTCAGAGGCGTTCTCCAGAACAGGGCTGCCATTTTCGATGCCAAAAGCTGGAAAAGCTAGAACATCTTCAAGGAAAAACAAAATGTTACTTGTATGGGGGTTTTTGCAATGCTTCTCCACCTCTTTCATATTTTAAACCACAAAGAAAAAAAGTTCAATAAATACTCACAGCTCCTTTTTTATTACAAGTCATAAAATCAGCTGAGCAGGCTTCGTCAGATCAATAAGAATGGTGTAGGATCGGAGGCCTTACCATAATCTCCAGCTAACAGGTGAGGCTGCCCCACGTCACAGAGGCTGGCAGGATACACAGACTCGATGGTCAGAGACTGTGAGGGTTAATTCTATGTGTCCGTCTGACTGGACCACAAGGTGCCCTGACATGTGGCTATTCTGTGGATATGCCTGTGAGCGTGACCCTAAATGAGATTAAGTTTGAATCAGGGCCCTTTGAATTTGGGCAGAATGTTACTGGCTGAATTGGGCCTCCCCAACGTTCATATATTGAAACTCTACCCTCCAATGTGACTGGAACTGGAAATAGGGTCTTTAAGAGGTAAAGTAACTAAGGTTAGATGAGGTTACAGGGGTGGGGCCCATAACTGATAGGACTGTGACCTTATAAGAAGTAGATCTCTCTGTTATACTTGATAAATGTCTTCTATTAAAATGTATATATCCTTTAGTTTGGAAAAAAAAATTAAATTACATAGAATTTCCTGCACCCCCCAAAAAAAATAAATAAATAAATTGAAGAGGCATTCACTGTCCGAGTATATACTTATGCTCTTCCACATGATGAATGAAGGCCTCATGCTTGCTTCTTCCCTCTCACCCCAGATCCCCCAGCCTAACAGGAGGTGCGATGCATCTGGAGTAGGAGGACACCACACTGTCAGCGCCCCACCCACCTCCCTCCATTTATCTTTCCAGGGCACACAGCTTCCATCGCTGACACCGCACCTCTCTGCCTGATGGTGTCCTCTAGCCCTGAAGTGCTGGAGAATGAATGCATCTTTTTCTTTCTTTTTCTTTTTTTCTCCTCCATCCAAAGATCCTCTGGACTCTGAGTCACTTCATGAATCTCTTTTAAAGATGGTTGCAATCCTCTCTCCAGTTATAAGTATTTTTATCATCCTCTTTTCTGAATCAACAACTTCTCTTATGCTTCTAAACATGTGCTTAAGGTCACAATACATCCTTTCTGTTTAGGAAATGACCTGAAAATTTCTGAGCCATGAAATGTGTAAGTGGAAAATTTTAATTTCTGCTCATTGATTTCCCTCTGGAACTGCACTTCAAAGTCTTATTCAGGATTTTTTTCTCCATCGCTCAAATGGGCATTCTGTTGGGGGTATACATGTGTATGTTGAGGTGGGAATTGTGGTTATTTAGTAAAGAATGCTGTTTGGGGATTGTGATAGAATAATGTCTCCACTTCACCCACTCCAACAATGTGTTGTCCACTTCCTAATCCCCAGACCCTCTGAGGATGTTACGTTACTTGGCAAAAGGGACCTTGCAAATGTGATGATCTCCAGATGGGAGATTATCCTGAATGATCGGATGATCCCAGTGTAACCATAGAGTCCGTAAAAGTGGACGAGGAAGCAGAAAAGAGAGAAGGAGATGTGAAGTGTGATCAGAAGATGCAAACTGTCTGGTTTTTATCATGAAGGAGGGTGTGACTAACTGAGGAATGTGTGTGGCCACAGGATGCTGGAAAAGGCAAGGCAATGGGCGTGGCCCTAGAGACTCCAGGAGGAGATGCAGATATGCCAGGACTTTGCTTTTAGCCAGTGAAACCGTGTCAGACTTCTAACTGCAGAACTGAAAAGAAGTTCATACATTTATGTTGACTTAAGTCACCACCAACTTTGTGGTAATTTGTTACAGCAGTAAAAGAAAATAAATACAGGCTCATTTTGATTATATGAATAAGCATCTTTTATAGGATTGAGCTACCCACAATGCGCTAAAACAAGTAACATCACTCTTTTTCCAAAAAATCCTTTAGCAGCTTTTCATCTCACACAGAGTGAAAGCCAAGTTCACATGCTGGCCTCCAGGCCCCACGTGACCCACGAAGTCCTCCTTCCTTTATGTGGCCTCACATTCTACACTCTTGGCCTCACTTCCTCTGCTCTAGACACACACACGTTTCTGTTCCTTAAACACGTCATCCAGCAGGCCTTGCCTCAGGACCTTCACCTTACATGCTCCCCGACCAAAACCCATGTCCCCAGGATACCACTTCTCATTTATACCCTTCCTTTAGGACTCTGTGTTATGCACTGTCCCTATGTCAGAGCGTCTTCCCACGTGCCCTTATATAAAATAACAACATCTCCCTCTCTCATGGGTGAATATTATAAAATGTCAGATACTATTTTTATTTTATTTACTTATATGTGTATTTTCGGCCTCCTTCCTCCCACCTCAAATACAAGCTTCCTGAAATTGAGGACTTCCATGTGTGACGTCCCTGCTGTATCGCAGGACCAAAAACAGTGTCTGGTAGTAGGCACTTAATAAATATTTATTTAGTGATAGTGAAAAAATAAATGAATGAAATTATTCATTTTTGCTAACTGAAGTGCATCAATGACATACTATTGACCTATTCCTCAAGACCTTCTATTTTGTGGCACTCACTGTACTTGAAAAGTTGCAACTTCCTGCCATTTCACTGGTTCAGATTTTCTACTTAGCTTTATAGATTCAGTCATGTCAGGAGTGACTTCTGCATCTGAAGATACCTTGTTGCTATGACATTAAAAAATAAATTGGCTTGGTTGGCCTGGCTCAGTGGTTGAGTGTTGGCAATGGTTCGATTCCTGGTCAGGGCACATGCCCAGGTTGCCGGTTTGATCCCCAGTGTGAGGCATGCAGGAGGCAGCCAATCAATGATTCTCTATCATCATTGTTGTTTCTGTCTCTCTCTCCTTCACCCTCTTCTCTATAATCAATAAAAAAAAATATTTTTTGAAAAGAGAATAAATTGATTTAGTATTTTCCTCAATTATTTTTATGTGCTGAAATTTTGGGAATACTTAGTTTTCCAATGAAAATCAGCTCAATATCTGAATGTATAATAACCTATAGGAAAGAAAACAATAATTTTCTGAGCATATTAACTCATCCACTAAACTTATCTAAATAAGTAAAATTGACATTTTATTATGCATCTACTGTCAGAACAGTTTAATAGTTATCTCCCTACTTTCTGAAATTAAGTCAATAAGCCAAAATAAAAAGAATCAAGCCTGGCCGGTGTGGTTCAGTGGTCACTTCTTGGTTGAGGCACATGCCCAGGTTGCAGGCTTGATTTCCAATGTAGGGCATACAAGAGGTAGCTGATCAATGGTTCTCTTTCATCACTGATGCTTCTATCTCTCTCTCTCCCTTCCTCTCTGAAGCCAACAAAATATAATTAAAAATAAATAAGTAAAAAGGATCACAATGATGGTAGGCCTACAGAAGAATGGAGATCCAGAGGCTACACCTTTATACCCAAGGACAAAAGGAGATTTGAAAATAAAAAACTAGTTGTACTCTTTTAATGGAGATGGTAAAATGATGCCCAGTAACTGTGTACAGGGCATCAGGGATTAGTGGGGACTTTAGTGAAACCAAAAGCTTGCTCCTACCTAATGGAGGCAGCTGCTATTTGCCCACATGGGAATGTGATACAAGTTATTTTTGTGAGAATCTTAAAATGGAGATGTTTTGGTGAAATATTCTGCTATTCAAAACATCTGGTATACTCAATGCTTTGAGAGTCTCTACTCTCTAGTTTGTGACCTCAGGTTTAACATAAAAATCTTCACCCATGAAAAAAGAAAATTAGAACAAATTAAATTGAAATATAGTATTGCTTAGATTTCATTATATCCTTATTTTACTCAATGCCCCACTCACTGAGTTGATGGGATCAATTCACCTGATGTTTTTATTTCAGAGACAGATGCACACACAAAACTGGAGCAGTGGAATCAAGTAGGGTATTCCATACCTTAAGAAAATTCTGCTTAAAGGTTATCTAGGACTATGAACAACTCTGTCTAATATGTAATTTAAAAGTTTCTAGTAACCACATTTTAAAAGGTTTTTTAAGTGAATTTAGTTTTAATATTATATTTTATTTAACCCAATGCATTCAAAATATTACCATTTTAGCATGCGATCGACATCCTATATAATAAAAGCCCAATATGCTAAGTGTCTGGTCTTCTGGTCATCTACCAGTCAATCAAAGTATAATATGCTAAAGATATGCTAAGGCTTCTCAATGCTATGACATGCATTGACCACCAGAGGGCATATATTTGACTAGTTGACCAGTTTCCATAACGTGCACTGATCACAGGAGCAGACACTCTGACTGGTAGGTTAGCTTGCTGCTGGGGTCTGACCTATCAGGATTGAGCAAGAAGGGCTAGACACGCCCTGGAGCTCTCCCTTGGTCCCTCCCTTGCTGGCCAACCTCCTGTGTCCCTCCCAGGCCCTATTATGCACCAGTGGGGTCCCTCAGCTGACCAGTGCTCTCTCACAATTTAGGGGGGGGTGTCAGAGAGTCGGTTTCAGCCTGATCGTGCAGGCCAGGCCGAGGGACCCCACTGGTGCACGAATTCATGTACGGGCCTCTAGTTTTTAATAAGTTTATGTTAATAAGATAGTTTAGATTATTTTATTCATACAAAATTTTCTAAAACCAATGTGTGTTCTACACTTATAATATATCTCAATACTGACTGGCCACATTCATGTAGTGAATAATCACAATTGGGTGGTGGTTACCATACTCAGCAGCACAGCTGTAGAAATTCAGTGTTGTTTTTGCAAATATTACCATTTATTTTTATCAGAAATATGTAATCTAATCATGCCTAACTAAGAATTTGGAAGTTAAAGAGCTTATTTAGTTTTCAGATAACCATCATTTATTCTTAGAAATTAAACATATTTTACTTAATTTTTTATTGGCAATAGTGACATTTTGGCTTTTACCCAATTTTAGATGTGACTGGTTCTAAATAAAATGGCTAAATTCAATCCATGAACAGTAAGGGAAAAATCACTTAAACCAATGTCTTGATGTGATGGATTCAAAATTTAGGTAATTAATTTTAAATTCTCGGGTCTGATTTTTACTTTAATGTAATATACACTCACTTTTAAAAAAGTCAAACAATATCAAGTAAAAGGTTTAAAATCTTCTACTCATTTCTCCTCACCTCTGTTGCTCTCCTATATTCCACTCCCAATCTCTAAAAACCACACTGTTAAGTATTTTGTATATGTGCTTCTAGAATGTTCTGTTACATGTAAACATAGATCTTTCTTAAGGGATCTTCTTAGGTTCAGAATTTTAGGACCTTCTGTCTCCACTCCCAGTGCACCCTGGATTTCCTTTTACCTGCACATTGGAACGCACAGATCTATCTCCTCCTTTTAATGACTCCAAGGTCCATAGTATGTCTGGACCATTTATGTAATCCTGTATTGATGAACATGTAGGTTGCTCCAGTTTTTGCCATTACAAATAAGCCTACATATATCCTTCTGCCCATAGTCTAGGTTCCCAGAGGTGGGATACTGGTTCTGAAACTTGGTAGATATTTCCAAAATGCCCTTCAAAGAACTTGCACCAGCCTATTCCTCTCCCACCCCCACCCCCACCCACCCACTATCACATGAGGACATTTTGCCTGAAATGTAGACTTTCCAAGGTGGCACAGCCCAGGGCCCTTGACAACTTCCAGAATCAACACTGAGCAGTTACTACAGAAGGTAAAAGCAAACCAAAGGGCTATTTCAGAGCTGAGTGATAGGAGTCCAAAGTTAGAAATACCGACCTGGGGCAGCAGCCAACACCACAAGCAAGTGAACAAAAGGCATCCTGCGCCGGGAAGCCTCTGCCTCCTCAGCAGCGCTTCGCTGCAGCCCTTCCTTCCCCAGCTTCTGGGGAGCGGCGCCCTCCTGGCAAGGAGTCTCAAGAGAAACGCTCTGTCTCCAAGCGCCCTGTACACACTTCCTCATGACACAACCCTTGCCGAGTGATCCGTAAAGAGACACCTTCTTCTCCCCAAAGGACAACAGCTCCAGGAAGGAGGTGTGCTTGAACAAGGGGGAAAGTCCCCGACTCATATGCTTCTACGTGCAAAGGCCTCCCAAGGCCTGGTGGATCTGGGTGGCCAGGATGTGTGGGGCTCCAGGAAATGGTCAGCTCACGAGGCCCACTCGTTTCAAAGGGTTTTGATTGAAAAGACTGCAGGTCACTAAGGTACAGTGTCCTGCCTGTTCCTATGTGTTGATGTCTGCAGACTTGGAATAACACCCGGAATCTCAGCTTGCCAAGTTTGCAGAAGGCTTGCAAATTGGTAAGTGAGATCAGCATGCAACCAGATCGGGATAAGATGCAAAAACTAACAACCAGTCAAAGGATGCGAGTTAGCACCTGTAAGTGAAAACTTGGGGGGAAATCAGCATTAGGGCCACTATCGGAAAAGCCCCGGCTGGCAGTATGCAGACCACATATGGAAAGATCTCTGGAGGCAGCAAATTGGTGATTCACAAGCTAAATATGACCAGCAGACCATATTTTAATTGTAAATGTTTTCATTTTTTTAATACATTTTTATTTATTTCAGACAAGAAGAGAGAAGAAGAAGAAAGAGAGAGAGAGAAACATCAATGATGAGAATCATTGATCGGCTGCCTCTTGCCCACCCCTTACTGGGGATGGAGCCCGCAACCCAGGCATGTGCCCTTGCCTGGAATGGTACCTGGGCATTGGGCCAAATGAGCTAGGGCCAGACCACATTTTTAAATGCACAAAGCTTCTTAAAAATTTGAAATTCAGTGAGATTTGATTGGTTGAACTCTCTGCAATTTTCCACCATTCCCACTCCTTCCTGCCACACCCCACAGCTTCTGACATTTACCTGCCTGGCCCCTGCAGGGATTCTTGTTTGCAATCTCTTACTTAGAGGTTTCAATCAATTACTATCTCCATGGGAGTCAAATGTTGTTATGGTTACCTAAACAGGATTATGCGGTCTCAGACATGTTCAGTAAAGGATAATGTGGAGAACAAAGGGGGATTGTGTTTTTACCAGACTTGGCTCTGCTCTGGCTTTTGGCTTTTCAGAGGGACAGTGACAAATGGCCAGGGAATGAGGGTGTGGGTCTGACTCCAAGACACATCCCATGAAGGACACATCCCATCTTGAATGGATGCCCTTCTCTCTAGCTCCCTCACCTAACTGTGGTCGACAGTTATACAGACACGAGCAGAGCAAGGCCCGTGGGCCAGGTACAGAAACTCCCCAGGGCAGAAAGCCCCAGACACCCAGCAAGGGACCAAACGGGGAAAACAAGAACCTCACCCCCAGGGTAACCTGTCCTCCCCTAGCGTATCAGTGGTCATGCGGTGTGGACCCTTGACCTTTTCCTCCCTGGAGATTAACATCTCGGCCTCAGTTATATTTCAGCTCCAGGACCAGAAAAGCAGCAAAATCACACAAGTGACGCTGTGGCTACCTCAGGACCAGCTGCATTGACTAATGTCCCCTGCCCTGGCACTGGCCAATCAGTGGAGACCACAACCCTGGAAGAGCACGCCTGGGAAGCTGATGAATATTCTGTTGGGACCTCCCCTGGACCTCCCCTAAGATTCCCACCTGCAGAGAGAGAGAGAGATGCTCTGGATGAAGGGCCCAGTGCACACTGTCCCCCAGGGGAGCACGCCCACATCATTTCCTCCCCTTCTTCCTTCTAAGGGACCCCATGGGACTTGCAATCAGGGGAGCAACGAGCAGCAGCAGCTTGTTCGGGACTAACCTCTTAACCCCTTTGCTCTGACTTCTCAGTGAGCCGAGCAGCCCAGCCTCGGCTCTCCCCTTACTCCTTCTATGTGCCTTCCTTGTTTCTCTGTCCCAAGTGAATTTTTGCTACTTACTTTGCTGCACTTTGTGTCTTGACTGAAATCTTTCCTTCAAGGGGACAAGGTCTTGTGGTCTCACCGGTAACAAAACCACTGCAATCTCACCCTCTGCCACAACCTCCCCTTCCAGTCCAGAATCTCCCTCTCTCACTCACCTGCCTCACACCCACTTCATTTCAGCCTTGATCCTCCTAAGTATTCCCGAATCTGCACACTCCTGCCTCTCCCTACTCCTAACCACCACCATGGGTAGCCTGGGCCAATTGCTATCCAGAGACATTCCAACAACCATACTTTTCCCTCTCTGACGTGTTTTCTAAGCTGCACACCGCTATCTTCTTTAAACGTAAGCGTAGCGTTGCTTTCCCTTGTCACCTGTGTCCCCACACGTTGGTCTCCACATGCCTAGTTCCCACCTCAGACCCTTTGCTCAGGCAGATCTCCATCCCTGGAATACTTCTCCCCGATCTTACTAGGGGTTTCCTCCTTTCAACCTGAAACATCTCAAATGTGGGCCCTTTAAAAGGTCTTTCTCCATCAGTCTGGAGATTCACCCACTTCCACTGCTTCCTACCGCGTTTTTCCAGTTTCCTTCCAGCATCTTTTATCGGTGCCTGGCGTGCTTTATCTGCTTGCTAACATGTTTGGTGTCTGTCTCCTCCGCCAGGATGCAATTCCTGGGCAGGGATTCCACTTGTTTTGTTCAAGGCTGAATCCCCACTGCACAGCATAATGTATGGACTAGCTCTGTGAAAACTCTCACATCCATGAAGAGAGAAAGGCAGGTTGTGGTTTCAAAGCAAGAGAGGGCGGGTGGAGAATGGAGAGGTACAGTACAGAGCTTCAGTTTTGCAACATGAAAAACGTGTAGGAGATGAATGCTCATGGTGGTAGCACAACGTTGTGAATATATCAATGACACTGAACTGTACATTGAAAAGCGATTAAGATGGTAAATTTAAATTCTGTCTATTTTACTTCAATTAAAATCTGCATTGCTCTGAAGGTCAAGATCAAGACCGTGAATTTGTTCTGTGGGATCCAGCAGCTCTGCCCTCCCACGTCCAACTCCTCACCTCCATGGGCTCTCCGCCACAGCCACCCCGACTACCTCCCACCTTCTCTGCAGCATCTGCCTCCTTCCACCAGGCTTGGGAAACTGTGCCTCCTCCTCCTGGGACAGACGGGTCTTCACACAGCCAGCTCTTTCCCCTCGCTCGGCTCTCAGGCCAGTGACTCCTCATCTGAAGGTGACCTTCATTATATTGTCCTTTCCTATTTTCTCCATGGCACCAGCCGAAGCTAGTCTATTTCCTCATGTGTTGTCAGCCCCCCCACCCCCCCAGCATTTTAAGTTATGTTGGTTAGGGATACTGTGTGCTGTTCACTGTGCTTTCCCAGGTGTCAAGAGGAACATCAGCAGCCACTAGGCGTTCAGACAGTTGCCAGGTAAAAATGAATAAAACATTCCCTGAAGGTAGCAACTACTATTCCCATTTCACAGATAGGAAAATGGAGGCCCAGAGAAGGTTTGTCACCTGCCCAAGATCCCATGGCTTATAGGGGCAGAGCTAGAATTTAAAAGCAGGTTTGGCTCCAATCCATGACCTTGGTGCCCAGCCTTCTCTCTGCTCTTTTCCCTGTCCCACTCCTGCGAGCTTCACCATCTGCGCCAGACTCCTTGAAAAACCCGTGCATCTTGTCACAGAAGCCAAAGCAGCAAATGCTTTAACCTGTTGCACACACACATGTACACACACAGGTTTGCACCCTCATAGACATGTGCAGACCTACACATACTCAAATCAAAGTCAGCTCTTGTTTCCTAATATAAAATTAACCTCATTCATCCAGATTGTTGACAAAATACAACAGAACGAATACAGCTATCCCAATAACCGAGTGACAATAATTGGGCCATGGTTAAAGAAAACGCTTATTCATTTATTTGTTCATTCACGTGCCTATTATTTATTGTGCTCTGGGGATTCCAGTGGATGAGGGAAAACAGGCCAGGTGGAACCACACACCCATGTGGCTAAAGCAGGTGCTGTATCTCAGTGCTTCTGAAAGGGCCACCTGCACCCACTCTCCCATGAGCGCCTTTCTATCCCTGCTTTACAGATGAGATAGCAGGCACAGCCCTACCCACTTTGGCTCAGTGGACAGAGCGTCAGCCTGAGGACTAAAGAGTCCCGAGTTTGATTCCAGTCAAGGGCACATGCCTGGGTTGCAGGCTGGAACCCCAGTGTGGGGCACACAGGAGGCAGTTGATCAATATTCTCTCTCATCATTGATGTTTCTATCTCTCTCTTTTCCTCTCTGAAATCAATTTAAATATATATATATATATATATATATATATATATATATATATATATATATATGAAAGAATGTAGCACAGGTTGAACTGATGAAGGCCACACAGCTGAGCTGCAGCAAGAACCCAGCTGTCGCTCCCAAACCCACTCGCTTAACTCCTCAGTGTGATATATTTCATACTTGTCCATTTTCCGTTCCTCCCCCCAGGATGGAATAGGAAGAGCCTTGCTTGCTACTCAGAGTGTGGCTTGAGAGTCAGCATCATCAGCATCACCTGGAGGCTTGTTAGAAATGCAAATTCTTGGATTTCACTCAGACCTTTTGTATTGAAACCTGCTTTTCAATAAGACCTCGGGTCATTCGTGTGCACAGGGAAGTTTGAAAAACATGCTCCAGACCACTGGTGAGGTCAAACACAGAAAGAAGAGTCAATTTTGTATCTCCCAACAATTTTCTAGAGTTTTCCTTCTTAACATCCTTATTTTTGGACTGAAAAAAACTAGAGCGCACCAAGAGTGATGTAATAAACCCTAGTGTCTGCTGCCACCTTGTGGTGAGAAGTTTAACCCAGCCAGAATTGGCTCTTTTCCATTAAATAAAGGCGGAAATGTTGGAAGGGATGGGGGGGGGACGACCAAGTACTCAAACTTTTTCAGCCTGATCAGTGCTTTGAGACACCACTAGAAATTCCAAGATATAATAAAATAGGCCTTGGGATGTGCTGGGAGAAGGCCAGATAACAACCTGCCTTTTCACGTGTGTATCAGCAACTCTCGTTGAGAGATTTAACAAATATCTCTGGATCCTTGGCATTGCTCCTCCAGCTTCTTTCCTCTCTGGAATTCAGCACGCACAGCTGGAATGTGATAGTCATCCCCAGCCCAAACTGCAGGCTGTGGTGAGAGAATCAGTCAGCACTGGCCCGGCCCAGGAAGTTGCAACACATTCCACAAAGTGAAAGGGAATGTCCCGCCGCTGTGCCAGATGCATCACTGGGGCCTGGGTGAAATGATGACCAACGCGAGTCCCGAGTCCCAAGGAGTGATGTCTCTAACATCTGGAAGGGAATGAAAAAACACATTTCAAGGATCTGCATATTTTACCCCAAGCAGCCCAGAAGTTAAAACTCTCCGTCCCCGAATCATTTTGTTTTGATGTTTTTGAGCCCAAGCAATCTCAGACAGCGTCTGCAGGCGAGGCTGACGGCAATGGACCGCCCTCAACTCCACCGGCCGGAGCCCGAGAAGCTCAGTTATGGAAGCGTTGGCCAGTACCGAAGGCTTCAGCAACCCCGGGGGAAAAACAGCTTGTTCAAGAGGAAGGGGATTGAAAGGTAGGACGCTGGGGCTCACTTTCTATTTCACTGAGTGGGATCCTTCGGGGTTTGCATTACACAGTATTCACTGTGGTGTTTTGGCCTTGCCTTTGGAAATGGAGGCTCGGTGCGGGCTCGGAGGAGAGGGCAGAGAGGCCTCTGCATCTACACACTGATCAAGAAGCCTCATTTCGTGAACAGAGTTTTCACTGTGGTGGAGGAAAGAATGTGAGTTTTAATGTGGCCTATGGCATCCAAGGGAGCACTGGGTGGTACTTTTGAAGCACAGTAACCTCCATCTTGGGTAAAAACTGCTGTTTAAAATTTAACCCTGCTATTCTGGCTTCTGTAAACATTTGCTTGCTTAAATAATAGGGGAAAATAAGACTACCCCCATTACAGAGAGGTCATAAACTATGCCCCAGTGCTGGCGCCAGGCCCGGCATTGAGATACCGTCTCACGGCCTGTCCCAGCACACGACTTTTTCTCAGAAGGTCCGGAAGTCTCCTTCCAAATTTGGAAAACAAAGAGCTGGAAAACATATAAATTTGAGAGACTTCCATCATATTGGGCCCCAGAATTTAAAAAGCAAATTTTCCTCTGGGCCCACTAGCGATAGTGAAATAAACAGGACTCCAAGTAAATTTGGCTTAGGCATCCTCTGATTTACAATATAACACTTTCAGCCTCGGGATTTTATTTTATTTTATTTTTTATATCCCGGTATTCTATTGATTTTTTTTACAGAGAGGATGAGAGAGGGATAGAGTTAGAAACATCGATGAGAGAGAAACATAGACCAGCTGCCTCCTGCACCACCACCCCTCCCCTTCTGGGGATGTGCCCGCAACCAAGGTACATGCCTTGGACCGAAATCGAACCCTGGACCTTTCGGTCTGCAGACCGACACTGTATCCACTGAGCCAAACCGGTTTCGGCCAGCCTCGAGATTTTAAACATCACACATCCCATGCAGATAGCATTATTGTGAACACTTAGTAGAGCATCCCTCAGGATCAGTCCATGGTCAATGACTGTTCCTTCTCCAAGCAATTCTGCTGCTGACATGGGTACTGATTATACCTCATTTATGTGCATGCTCTTTAATGTGACCTAAAAATTAACTCCCACCTCATCTTTCTTGCCAATGGCGAAACCATAAACACAGGCATGAACTATTCCAAACACAATACATTTTAATTTGGAAAGTCAGTTAGATGATTTATTTCCCATTTCTTTTGGCTTCTTTCTTACCAGTCCTTAGCAGTAACTCTGACATGCAGAAATTAGGCCAAAATCATCCAAGACTAAACTTTTGAACTTTCATGGACAAAATAAAATGTTGCAGAGATTTCCACTTTGAAGAAGAAATAGCGGTCGAAGCAATACAACCGAACACGTTTACTACTAACCAAGAAACTTTAAACCTTAAGGAGGGCAGTATTCTTTTTCTAACAGAAATTTCAGCAGTTCTACTCCTAGGCACTGAAGCAAAATCGCCTTTGTTATATGTTGTGGATTGGGAGCAGGGGTAGGGAGTGGTGGGTGTGGGAGACACATGGGCTTTTGCCTGAGAGGCTTTCAATGTTCCTGGACCTCCTAAAACGTATTTTCACTGTTTTGTGTTGTGCATGTGTGTATTTGTGGTAGCTGAAAAAGATGGCTGTACTAAAAGATTCTCAGAGAGATTAATTGGGAGATTAATCCTAGCCCATATATGACGTTTGGGTGAGTTAAAACATGACACTCCCTCCTCAGGGCACTGTACTGTCATCTGCTAGAAAGTTGACAGAGTAACTATACACAACTAACTATAATGACTAAATGTGAACAGCACCCCCTAGAGGTTATTGAACTCCTTTAACCCAGGAGGTCTCCTTGCCTTTTACATTTTCCCACACAGATCTAATCCACTTGGTACTAAAAGCTATTGATTATTGAATGTTTTATTAGATTCTAAGCACATATGTTACTTCCTTTTATTCGCACATTTCTGAGAATAGTATAGCAATTTGAAAATAAGAAAACTGAAGCTTATAGAGTTAAGTAACATGCCCAAGATCACACAGCTAGGAAGTGTGGTTCTGGGTTGAAGAAAACCCTTTAACTCTGGTTCCTGGACTCTGACTGGCATGCTGCCCAAGTATGACAGAGAAACTGACTAATTTAGGTCCAGTTCTGAGCAGGGTTCTCTGGAGTGTGGTGTGTGTGCTGCTGATGGGACGTGAGACATTTCAGGTAGTATTTGAAGGACATTTTAATGGTTACGAATTTATTTACATCCACATTAGAAATATATAGTGCATGTATTATCTTATAAATAAAAGCCTAATATGCAAATTGTCCCCTTGACCAGGAATTCAACCGGGAGTTCGACCAAGGAATGGGGCCAGCAGGCCAATTGCCCATAGTCCCTCCCCCAGGCCAGCTCCGCCCTACCCAGTGGCAGTGACAGTTAGCCAGGGGAAAGGAGTCCCTGGCCAGCAGCTGGTAGCCACTAGGGACCCTATCCATGCGTGCATTTCATGTACTAGGCCTCTAGTATCTCTATATACATAAAAGCCTAAGTGACCAAATGACCAAATGACCAGTCGATGGGTTGCTATGATGTGCACTGACCACCAGGGGACAGATGCTCAATGCAGGAGCTGCCCCCTGCTGGTCAGTGCACTCCCACAGTGGAAGCGCTGCTCAGCTGACTGACGGGCACCAGACGCCAGGCTCACAGCTGGCGGGCTCATGGCTGGTGAGAACTGCTGCAGCAGCATTAGCCTCTCCCACCACCGAGGCAGCGCTACCGACTGGCAGCGGCAGCAGGCCAGTGGGGCCAGCGCTTGCCACTTCAGGCACTACCACATCCCTCAGGAGATGTCGGACTGCTGGTTTCGGCCCAATCCTCGCAGGCCAGGCCAGAAACAGGCAGTACGACATCTGCCGAGGGGTCCTGGATTGCGAGAAGGCGCAGGCCAGGCTGAGGGACCCCACGAATCCGTGCACCAGCCCTCTAGTATAACATAACAAAAAACCTGGGATTTCACCCAAAGAAATGAAGTTTTATATTCACACCAAAACCTATACACAATGTTTTTAGCATCTTTATTGATCATAGCCCCAAATTGGAAACAACCCAAATATCTTCCAGTGAATGAATAGTTGACAAAGTAACTAGTCATGGTATAGTCACATCATGGAATCTTACTCAGCAATAACAACTTGCCGAAACCAGTTTGGCTCAATGGATAGAGCGTCGGCTTGGGGACTGAAAGGTCCCGGGTTCGATTCCGGTCAAGGGCATGTACCTTGGTTGCGGGCATATCCCCAGTAGGGGGTGTGCAAGAGGCAGCTGATCGATGACTCTCTCTCATCAATGTTTCTAACTCTCTATCTCTCTCCCTTCCTCTCTGTACAAAATCAATAAAATATATTTTTAAAAAAAGAACAACTTATTGATATACACAACAATGTGAATAAATCTCTATAGAAATATGCTGACTGACAAAAATAAATCCCAAAAGGTTTTATACTGTATGAATTGATTTGTATAACATTCTCCGAAAAACATTTTAAAAGAGTATATGCATGAAGGCCAGCTTAGTGGTTGCCAGAGGCCAAGGAAAATGTGAGGTGAGTGGGAAGTGGGAGTGGTTATAAAACATGGGGATCCTGGCTGTGATAGACACGCTCTCTATCTTGAAAGAATCAATGTCAACATGCTGGTCGTGATAATGCATCATAGTTTTGAAAGCTGGGTAAAGAGCACAAGAGAATTTCTTTTTTTAAAATAGGTTTAAAATATTATTTCTTATAACTGCATATTCAACTAGAATTATCTAAAATTAAAAAGCTTAATTTTTAAAGTCCATGAGATTTTATGAATAGTATTGCTTTGGATGAGGTTGACAAAAAAACCATTAACTGAGGAAGAATATTAGGCAAATGCTGGTGTCCAGGAGGGTGGTATTCTCTCTAGCACAGAGGATAACAACGCAGATGTTGGGACCAGTGCCTGAGCAGAAGTCATCTCATCTTCCCAAGCTTTAATTTCATTTGTAAAAGATAGGTGGCCATGTGAGGGTTAAATTAGGTAATACACAGGGGAAAAGTAGAATGTTTAGCACATAGAAAGCTATTAAGAAATTGTATCTACTTTTATTTCTAAAACTAGAGGCCCGATGCACGAAATTCACGCAAGACTAGGCCTTCTTTCCCCCTGCTGCTGGCACCGGCTTCCCTCCGGCACCCAGGACCTGGGCTTCCCTCACAGCCCTGGTTTCTTCAGGAAAGACATCTAGTCTAATTAGCATATTATGCTTTTATTATTATAGATATGTCCACATGATGAAGATGGTGTATGACTAGTTGGAAGTTTGGAACTATGTGTTCAGATTCTTCTTTCTAAATGAATGTTCTATGTAAATGCAGCATTTGTGGAACTTTGAGACTATATTCTTTATTGATTGGCGGACTCTCATCTCTCACCACTGTAGCCATAGAACTACCATATCCAGCAAAACCTGTCTCACACCATCACTGAAATAAGACTGCCAATTGGCCAATATGAGGTAATACATTCTAACAGTCACACACCAGGATTAAAATCTGCATTTGTGCCTAGTTAATTATATTACCCACTTTCTGAATCTGTTTACTCATGAGTAAAAAAAAAAAATAAAAAAAAAAAATCATATAACCTGCCTGCCATGAGGATTCAGTGAGGTCGTGGCCAGAACGCACTACCACAGTTTGGTGACAAGACACCAAGCAGTTGCTTTGGCTCATTTTTCTGTGATTTGATTCTTGGAATTGTGTCGTTTGTTCACATTTGCCACTTGGATTTTAATAATTTCAATGGCCTGCGTTTAACTTTCCAATTCCCTTAATACAAATTATTTTCATTTTGATTAGATGGCATAGAGTTGTGTCTCCCAACTTGGTAAAACAAAGCCTATTGGTCCCCAAAGAGGAATCATCGAGTGGCAGCGACATGGAATTTCATGGAAGCCAGCGAAGTCAGAGGAAAAGTGTGAGGAGGAAAGTGAAGTCCTTCGTCCGGAGGATGCTGCCATCCCGGCGCAGACACAAGCCAGTCGGTGTGGGCACCATCAGCCCTCGGGACGCCCTCCTTCCTGAAGGGGCCCAGGAGCGCCCGCCGCCCAGGCTGCCCTCCACACCGAGGACGAGGAAGCGCTCACAGAATGGTAATCGGGGCTCTGCCTGGTTAGGGGCTCTGCCAAGAGGAGTGATGAAACGGGGGTGGCATGCCCCGGGAGCTTGTCTGGAATGCAGACTCCCAGGCCCTACCCCGTTCTACTGAGTCAGTATCTGCTTTTTAGAAAGATCCCCAAGTAACTCTAGGAGGAACATACATTTTTTAAAAACTCTGAATTAGATTGCCTTTCAGGTACCTCCCGTCCAACTGATCAGTGAGTCAGTTGATAGCCCCTTTTTGTTTCAATATATATGCACACATAGATGAGTATATGCACACATAGGCACATAGAAGAGTATATGCATATACACATACACATATATTAGGAAATCAAACTAAAGTGGGATTTGGGGTTTTGTTTCTGGAGAAAGTAGTGATTCAGTCTTTCAAACGGCTAATTCCAACAGTAGAGAGTGTGGTGAGAATTCTGTGAATAAAAGGTATGATTGGTAAGTGAAAAAGGACAGTTTTTTATGTTATTGTGTCTACCCCCCATGTACTTTATGTAAGAATTGGCATTTGGAGGAAAAGGATGTCTTTTTTTGCAAGGTAGTAATGCTGTTTTAGGGGGTCCTATGATTGATAGCTAACAATACCACTAATATTTGCATTCTCCTTTGTAGATCTTAAAAATGAATAAACCTTATTTTTCCGAGGAGTTTTAGATTTACTGGAAAAAATTAGCAGAAAATATAAAGAGTTCCATATCCCCTCTTCTCCCCTCATGCCATCCTCATAATGGATGAGCCAGTATTGATATATTATTAAACCAAACTAATGTCTGTAGTTTGCATTAGGGTTCACTCTATGCCCTGCCCAGCTCCATGGATTTGAAACCCCAGCATGTTGTGTCTTGGATCCACCATTACAGCCCCGTCCAGAAGAGCTCCAGTGCCCTCAGACCCCTGAGCTTTCCAGGGTCCCTCTTAGCCCAGCACCAGGAAACATGCAGGCCTCAGGTACATGTAGGGAACCCACGCATACGTTCCCATTTCACACTGAGAAAAGGCTGAGAAGCTGCTGGGTACTTTGTTCTAGGAAGAAAACAACTGATGGCTTCTAGTTGACTGACTGGCCTTTCAAAACAACATTCTGGAAAAAGCAGTCAGTGACCCAAGCATCCAGGCATCTTGCAGTCACCTGGTACGGACCAACCTGTCTGTTTCTGTTGAAAATAATAAAGAGGGCGGCTCTACAGAGATGGAGCTGCAGGCGGAGAGTCCTGCAGGAAACAGAGCCCCGGGTCCCTTCTCCTCCTCGGTGTGCATCAGCTCGTTTTTGTCTGAGTTGGAATAGCAGGTCTCTACATCAAGAGTTCTCCAGCATACATGCTCCTCCTTCAGGCTGCAGCTCAAGTATTAACCACCTGGTCTCAGTTGTGGCCCAAACAACATTGCTCTTCCCTGCCCGACCCTCATAACAGTTTTCAACAAATATCTGCCACATATGTATTACATGTCAGCCACACGTTAGGGATAGAGGAGCAGACAGAACAGACATGACCCCTGCCTCCACAGGGTTACAGTGTAGAGGGACATTCCAACATGATACAATGACATCTGCTGCAGAGTTGAGTAGAGGGCGCCATGAAAATACTTCGTGCCTCAGGTAGGGGAAAAGCTCCAGGCAGGCCTCCTGGTGGAGGAAGGGACAGTCAGCCACCTGAAGGCCACTGGAGTCATACTGGGAGAGAGTGGGGAGAAGGGTGTCCCACCCAATGTCAAGAGAGCACAGGGCATAATTAAGAAACAAGAGCAACCCAGCCAGGATGGAGGTGGTGAGGGTGTTATAAACCTAGTTAAAAAATTTTTATACCCAAGGGTGATCAAGCTGGGGATTTACATAATCTGATTTGCATTTTTTAAAGATAGCTCAGGCTGTGGAGTGGAGCCTAGGTTGGAGAAGGGCAGGAGCCAATCAGAAGGAGCAGAAAGCAGGCTTTTACACTCAGGAAGGGACTGCAGTGGCCTGGCTGGTCCCGGAAATGGGGAGGGAAGAAGAGCTGGGCAGTGGACGGTGAGGGAGAGGGACGCTTTTCTGGTTGAGCACCTACTTTGAAAGTGGAGTCCCCCTTCCCTGAGATTAGGAGCCATGGCTCCCAGAGAGGTCCTTGTCTGCAGCCCTCGGTGGGAAGAGATGACTTTAGGTGCAGCACACAGTAAAAATGCTGAAACAGAAAATTGCAAACACCCGTTGATCCCTTTAACTACACCAAGGAAAAGTCTCATTTCCTTCCTTTTTCTCTTTAACGAAAAGTAGAGTAACCTCAAGCTTAGTGCCTTCTGCAGCCAATAATATGGTTTTGTTTTACCATATTAATGTTAATGACTAATTATGGTACTAGTTTTTCATTTATGATAGTGTTTTAAAGTTCCCTTTATAAATACACTAGAGGCCTGGTGAATGAAATTCGTGCATGGGTGGCGGGGTTGTGTGTCCTTCAGCCCAACCTTCACCCTCTCCAATCTTGGACATCCCTCTCACAATCTAGGACTGCTGGCTCCCAATTGCTCACCGGCCTGCCTTCCTGGTTGCCCCTAACCACTTCAGCCTACCAGCCTGATCATTCCTTAACCACTCACCTGCCAGCCTGATTGATGCCTAACTGCTTCCCTGCATGCCTGGTCACCCCTAACTGCCCTCCCCTGCAGGCTTTTTAATTTTTAAAAAATATTTTATTGATTTTTTTACAGAGAGCAAGTAAGAGGGATAGAGAGTTAGAAACATCGGTGAGAGAGAAACATCGATCAGCTGCCTCCTACACAACCCCTACCGGGGATGTACCTGCAACCAAGGAACATGCCCTTGACTGGAATCAAACCTGGGACCCTTCAGTCTGCAGGCTGATGCTCTATCCACTGAGCCAAACTGGTTTCGGCTCCCCTGCAGGCTTGATCGCCCCCAACTGCCCTCCCTTGCAGTCCTGGTCCCCACAACTGTTTTCCTCTACTGACCTGGTCACTCCTAACTTCCCTCCCCTGACAGCCTCATCGCCCCTAACTGCTCTCACCTGCTGGTCTGGTTCCCCCAAACTGCCCTCCCCTGCAGTCCTGGTCCCCCCCAACTACCCTCCCCTGCAGGCCTGGTCCCCCCCAACTGCTCTTCCCTGCAGGACCGGTTGCCCCCTATTTTCCTCCTCTGTTAGCTTGGTCACTCCTCACTGCCCTCCCCTACTGGCCATCTTGTGGTGGCCATCTTGTGTCCACATGGAGGCAGAATCTTTGACCACATAGGGCAGCGTTTTTCAACCGCTGTTCCGCGGCACACTAGTGTGCCGCGAGATGTTGCCTGGTGTGCCGTAGGTGCAGACAAGACAAGAATTTTATAATTTTTCACTATTTTGTTTACTTAATATTTCATAATAAAGTAATTATAAAATACTTTCTTTGTGTTTATTTGATTCCTGTTCAAGAGAATTACTTTATATATAGTCAATATAGGCACAGAGTTAAATTTTTTTTAACATTTTCTAATGGTGGTGTGCCTCGTGATTTTTTTCATGAAACAAGTGTGCCTTTGCCCAAAAAAGGTTGAAAAACACTGACATAGGGGCAGCCATCTTGTGTGTTGGAGTGATGGTCAATCTGCATATTACTCTTTTATTAGATAGGATAGAGGCCTGGTGCATGGGTGGGAGCCAGCTGGTTTGCCCTGAAGGGTGTCCCGGATCAGGATAGGGGTTCCCTTGGGGCATGGGGCAGCCTGGGTGTTGGGCCTGTGGTGGTTTGCAGGCCAGCCATGTTCCCTAGTGACCCAAGCGTAGGCCAGGGCTGGCTGGAAGCAGGTATCTGGGATTTGTTTATCTTCTGTAATTGAAACTTTGTAGTCTTGAGAGGAGGCTAGGGCAGACCAGGGCAGACAGGAAACTTGGCTTCCTCCATTGCTCGGGTCAACCCAAGGCTCTTGCTCACTCCAGCTCTGTGGCTGCCACCATCTTAGTTGGGTTAATTTGTATACTCGCTCTGATTGGATGTGGGTATAGCGAAGTGATTGTTATTTTGCATGTTTCTCTTTTATCAGATAGGATTTATTGTGTTAAGAATGGGATTGCTATAAAGAAAACATTAAAGGGTTCACACAGCTCCTGAATTATGGGTAAACTACTAGGATAGTATGTGGCTGTCTGAGCCTTGAGCCACATTGTTGAAGAAAAAACTTAAAACTTTGCTTCAACTGATAACAACTATTCAAGGGATGGTCCTACACATCAAAGGTTACTTTTCTAATTTCACAAAATTAAAGGGAAAAACAACAGGTAGCAAACTGGTCTCAAAGACAGAGAGGTGACCAGCCACCTTGTCAAGACTGGTTGGTGACCATTGAGATCCCAGCCCAAGCAAAGGCCTGTGTGTGCAAGAGAAGGTGTGAGACAGAAAAGCAAATCCAGGCGGAATTAACTCCAAGAAAAAGCTTCCGCATCAGCACGGGATGCTGTCTTTTCTAAAGAAAGACTGTGTTTACAACTGTGGTCATTACAGCTTCTTTCCCCCTTCACTCTAAGCCGCTCTGCAACTGGACGTGGTAGAAGCAGAGACGGAGGCGATAACCCGAGGAAGCACACTGCTCCGGGCCAGTACCACCAGGCGGCTGTCTGTGACAGCCCTCCCTGCAGGGCGGCACAAGGTAATTCTCAGAAGCACACTCCCCTGAGGTCAGTACTGTCAGTGTCTAGGATGTTGGAAATGCCAGGTTCTCTCCCACCGTAAGTCCCTCACAAGAAAGCCAACCGATCTGCTTGTGTATCGATTTTAGGAATTTAGGCCCCGAACACCAGCTAATTGGATCTTATTCCTCCATTTCTCTGCTAAAACTGTTCAGCTTCTATTACAATCTGGGCAACAATAGAGCGTAGAGTGTTACATCGGCGCTTTAACTGTTCAGATATCACTGTAGTGTGCTGGCATCTGGCGTGTCATGCATGCTGCATGGAAAGCAATCCACGAAACAGGCACTGCCCTGCAGTTATTCTTTGAGGATGCGTCCAAGGCAGTAGATGTCAGCCGTATGTGGCTTCCAAGATCTGAAATGTGGCTAGTGCAACTGAGAAACTAAATTTTTAATTTGATTCAATTTCACTTGTAATTAAAATGCAAATAGCCACATTTATAGGAAGTGCAGACAGTGCAACCCTAGATCATCCAGGACTCCCCAGTCGAAAGCTTGCATTTATCTGTAGGTATGGAAATTTGAGGCTAAATTGCTCAGATTATTTTTTAAAATAGCACAAGCAGTTATTAGTTTAAATATAACATTTACGTAAGTCTATGTTCCAGGCCCTAAGTGCTTTAAAAATATCAGCTTCTCAGGTAATTCGTACAACAGCCCTATAAGGTATGGCAGTGTTCTCCTTATTTAGAGATGGCACAGAGATTAATAAGTCAGGCTTCAAACTCAAGAAAACCATGCTTAGTACTAATTGTATCATCCAATATGGTAGCCAATACTTACATGTGAATATTATTAAGTTAATAAAATTTAAATTAAATCAAAAGTTCATTTCTTTGATTGCACTAGCTACGTTTCAAGTATCCAACAACCACATGTTCTAGTGGCGGTTGTATAGGACAGCACAGATAAAGACCACTTCCTGTCCACAGAAAGTTTTATTACATAGCACTGCTCTAAGCCACCACTAGAGTGCAGTATTAGTTTAGAATCTTGCCTCTTATGTGTGCAAGGTTCATATTTATTTTATTCCTATATGTGCTTGTTAATTCCTAGATCTAGGGCCACAGAGGTGACCCCATGGACACGGTCATGTTTTGTGGGACTTATAGTTTAACAGAAGAGACATTAAACCGTGGCACTGCAGACTAGTGGGGAAAGGATAATCATTTGAACAGATGGTGCTGGGATGAGCAGATATTGAAAGGGGGGGGGGGGTGAAATTTGATCCCTTTCCCACAACATATAAAAAGTTTAGTTCCTGTAGGGTGACATATATGGAAAAGGTAAAAACTTTAAACTTTGTAAGGACTCTAAGAATGCTTCATGGTTTCAGTATAGAGAAAGACTTTTTAGAACACATCCCTGACCATAAAAGAAAGAGGGAGCCCTGGCCAATGTGGCTCAGTTGGTTAAGGGTCATCAGCCCATGCAACAAGAGGTCACTAGCTTGATTCCTGGTTAGGGCACATGACTGGGCTGTGGGCTCGATCCCCAGTAGGGGGCGTGCAGGAGATAGCTGATTCATTTTTAAAAAGGTTTAGGTGGATATATTTGGCTATATGAAAATTAAGAATTACCTTTCATCAAAAAACATTAAATCAAATGTTCTCTACTGGCTGTAGAACAGTTTTGTTTAGCCTTCAGGATGTTCCCCAAAACACATTTAAATTAATTGCCCACATTTAAAAATTAGAATAATTCCAATAAGAATCTGGATTTTCAGCTTTCCTTAGAAAACTAGATGGATTTGGAAACACTAACCCTCTCCCCCCCACTCCCATTTCCTCAGGGCAATAGCAGCAGCCCTGCAGAGGCTGCCCTTTGCTTGAGGCATATTCTCTCCAGTTCACACCAGCCCCAACTGGTTCTTTTACAAAAACTGCCTGGCCCTTCCCGCATTTGACTTTATATTAGTGGTATCCAACCATCAGAAATAACTTAGTAATTATTAAGGGTGGTATAATAGGTGCTTAGTGGGAAAAAGTACTGAAGTTTATCTGAGAGAGAGAGAGAGACAGGGCGGGGATGTTCTGCAAGTCATGACATGTGAGCCTGGGCAGGCTGGCCGGGCAGAGTGGGGCATTCAGCACACTCATTTGTAAACCTCCTTGCAGGCAAAGGCTAGGACCCAGATGTGGTCTCAGAGCCTCCTTTATGCAGGTCTCACAATAGTCCTAATGCTACTTATTAAGAGAAGAAGAAAGTGAACCCAATTAGACCAAAGAGGGCATATTAGCCAGGAGCCATGACCTAGAAATGATTCCTAATAGCCACACATTAGAGCAGGTACGTGTAACCAGCACACCAGGGGCAAGAGGAAAAGTACCGGGCATGTGGTGAAAAGAACCCAGGGCTTTCTTTTGATGTTTGCAGACATGTCTGCCATGAAAATAAGGAGCACTACAGAAAAAAAAGACCAAATTAACAACTGGATCCAGTGATAATGAGCTTTCCGGGAACTGGTCCACAAAGCTCCACCTCGCTGTGCTCAGCGGCCGCACAGGCAATTTCTCCTTCTGCTACGAATGGCCTGCTTTCTTCCTGACGGTGTATATTCTTTCAGAACTGGGCAATCTCATTCTCCGCACCCTACAGGTCTCTTCAAAGAGAGCTCTGGGCACAAAGGAGATACATGGGGCGTGGAGAAAAATACGAATATGGTTACCACCTCATTTGTTATGTGGTATATGTTCAGCGTGTAAGAGAATATCAAGGGTGAGCATTCTTACCTAAGCACCATCACAAAAATAATGGTGTTTTTTTTTTAATCTCATGTTTTTGCATTTTTATGATAGGTCCCATACACCTCAAAAAAGAGACCACACTTCCCTGCACTTAAAAAGAAGAAACACGGCATGAAAAATAACCTCCAAAGACAAGATTTGACAGTAGGAAAGCTTCAAATGCAGGTAGGGGACAAGGGCTTTCACTTCTGTTTCAGAAGCATAGAAGGCCAGGTTTCCCTGGACGGACAGCCCCACTAGACAGCACGGCTGTGGGGTGAAATCGATGATTGCCATTAAGAAATAATGTTGGTAGGGGGCATTTTGAAAGTGCAAAAGGATTGCTGAAGGCACCTTGGATGGTATTGTGTGCCTAACAAACACTAAGTGAATTCAATTAAAATAAAGGCATGCGCATAGGCTTCTTCTAAGAATGAGATCATCTTTATCACTGGGTGGTAAATGTGTTTTCAAGCTGTTTGCTACGACTTGAATTAGAATAATACTTGGGACGTGCAAAATGTCCACCAATTCCTGAACTAATCTTCAGGAAAAAAGCCATCCCTCAGGTTTGACCAGGTTGTCTTCTTTGTACCTATCTGTCACAGGTGGATGACCTCATAGGAACAGTGACTGACAAGTCCCTGAAGTTACTGGCCCAAAGGCATGCCGAGCTTCAGCAGTGCGAGTTTCTAGGGGACGAAATTCTTCAGTGTTCTAAGCAGTTCCAGAGGGTTTCCAAGAGAACCATGAGGAAGTATAAACTAAAAAATGTGTGTTTCCCATGTACGTGCTGTTGCTTCTGATTTTGTTCTGGACTGCATAAAAGTACACTCATAGGGATTCTTACCTTTTGTACATAATCCTGAAAAAATTCTAGTGAATGAATCAGTGGGGAGGAGGCATTTTTAATAATAATCTGCCCCATAGTCCTTAAAAAATTATTTTTTCAAAAATTAATTTTTAATTCTAAGGTACCATAAGCAGATTTTTGCTTCGCAATTCTTACAAATAATGGAAAATAGAAATATTTATTAAGGCATAACAATTCTGCAAAAAAAGTTCTCTCATGATTGACTTTAAAATATAATACAACAGAGTAAGTATTTAAAGGTATTGTGACACTTTTTGCCTGCCTGGTGTATCTCAGTGGTTGAACATCTACCTATGAACCAGGAGACCGTGGTTTGATTCCTGGTCAGGGCAATGCCCAGGATTGTGGGCTCAATCCCCAGTGTGGGGCATGCAAGAGGCAGCCTATCAATGATTCTCTCTCATCATTGAGGTTTCTCTCTTCCTCTCTGAAATAAAAAAATATATTTTAAGAAAAGTATTATGACACTTTTAATATAGCCACAACTGAGCTAATTTCAAATTTTCATGTTTTTAAAAATAAGAATTCTTAAAACTATAAAAATGTAACACTATTAAGGTATGATTCATGTACAGTGTCATGTTTCTGAACTAAAATAAATGAATAAAGATGAAACCTAGCAAGTATTGAAAATGTAATTTAATACTTAAGAAAATTACAGGTGATTCAGCCTTAGCTTAACTTTTAAAAAGGTCATGAATTCCTTTACACAAGACCATATTCATAGACTATTATCTCAACCTACTCTTCATTAACTTTTCTCCACTGATAATGATTCCCAAGTAACAAAACAGTTGAGAGGAAACATGAACAAAACATTTAACAACCAAGTAGTAAGGAGAGAGATCTAGAAAATAACACAAATGGATTTACTTTGCCTTTTACACCAGTGATTCTTAGCATCATGGAATCTGTCCCACAATGACCATATACCATAAACAATTTGCACATATTTCGCAAGTTCACAGCCCTTCTGAAGCCTGTCCAAATACTCCACTTCAAAAGTGGTAACAATGCCTGGCTGGCATGGCTCAGTGATTGAGCATTGGCCTATGAACCAGGAGGTCACTGGTTTGATTCCAGGTCAGGGCACATGCCTAGGTTGTGGGCTTGATCCCAGTAGGGGGCATGTAGGAGGCAGCTGATCAATGTTTCTCTCTCTTACTCTCTCTCTCCCTTCCTCTCTGAAATAAAAATATTAAACACACACACACACAAACACACACACACAAACACACACACACACACACACTCACACACAAAACCAATTATACCTATTTAAAAAAGTGATAAAAATTTAGAAGTTGACTCACTTTCTCATGGACAGCCTAGAAATACCACCTTCTCACAATCTTCAGCTTATTTTGTAAGCAAATCAATGTTAATCGTTAAAAACTTCCTAGAATACTAATGAGCTTGAAAAAGTTTTATTGAACAGTTTTGGATACTACCTTTTAAGTATAAGAATAAAAAAGGTATTTCAATAACAAAACAAATATTATAGTGGAGTCATTTTCCTTTGTGTGAAGAAATATGAATGAACTGTACATAAACATTTAAAAGCAAATTAGTTCACTGTCTAAACTTTAAATGTCTCAAGAGCACAGCAAATGCTAAACACACTAAGATCATGCTGCTACTTCAGTAGCTGGGAGTGGCGAGCGCTGGCCTAGGGCTTAGGATCAGCATCCATGCTTGTTTCCTGAGCCTCCTCCACCTCCGAGAGCTTCTCATCATCTGCGATTGAAGAAGAAACATAAAACTTTAGTCAAATTTGCTTACACTGTATGTCTAATATATGAAAACATTTATCCTTTATTAGATAGTATATGTAAAATGAAAATGGCAATATATTATTGTAAATAGCCTATGACTGTAATCAGCACACACAAGTGTTTGGTTTTAAAAGTTCTATTTTCGTTGTTCTTGAGTATTTGTAAATGTAAAACTTATATAATGTAAAACTTATGTAAAAAAATGTAAAACTTATATGATAGATTTCACTTTAAACAAAAACCTAGGTCTTAGCTTTTCTTGAAAACAGTCAGATCAGTTAATACAGAAATTTCCTATTGCTATAATCAATACCATGAGCAAGTCTACAGTTGCCCCAAAGCAACCTGTTTACTGAGTATGCAAATATACTTATCACTAACACTTCACCCACTTATGGCCTGCCGGGGTCCTGCATCATTACTTTATAGCAATAGACTATAATAAACCAAGAAAATTTCCAAATCTATTATCCTTGAATTGCTCTTAATATAGACTACTGGATATGTGTTTAAGTCAGATGTTACTAAAAATTCAGATTTTTCTGCATATATTCTGAAAGCTGAACAACATGAGTACCTACTTCTAACATCATCCAACTATACTGATGTTCTAAAACTGAACGTGTACTCTCCGAGATGTATATTTTAGAAGGCATGACCCTGGACCATTAAAAATCCTTATAAACATTCATTATGAAACTATCTCTACTTACTTTCCAGTGTTTGCTGAAGTTCGTGGATGGTACTAAGAAGCACATGAAACTGTTTCCGTCTCAATTCCAGCTGTGTTAACAAGAAAAAAAATTAATACACATTGATCTATAAATATATATATCACGAAATCTAACATATATGCAAATACCTTGTCTTCAACACTTTCTTTAATATGTGAAAGATGCTCCAATTCTTTGCCCAGAGCTTCTAGTTCCCTGAAAAACAATGGAAGTGTTACATTTTGCTAATGGAGGAACAGAATTCACAATAACTATTAATAACTTTTTAATTACTAAGTCGTTTTTTAAAATAAAAAAGGATCAGTTATAATACTTATTATAATTAGACTTTTAAAGCTAAGGTGATTTATTCTTAACTTCTAAGTATGCATTTATTTTCATTAAAATTAAATTTCTAGATACTTTTTAAAGTATAGGAAAACATAAGTAATAGAATATCAAACCCCAAGAATTGGTAAGTTTTAACAATGTTTTATCATGCTTATTTCAAATTGTTTTTTTTGGAAAAGAAATAAAACATTGCAGATTTGCTTGACATACACTTTTAATCTTACCCCCAGTCGTCTATCCCAAGCCACTTTTCTTCCTTAACCCCCAACCAGGCAATCACTATTCCAATCCTTTTTTAATGTATATATTTGTATATCTAAAGTAGGTTTACAGTTGTTCATATGGAAAATAATACAATAAGTAATACAAGAATGAACTGTGTTTCTCACACTCGCAACAATAATACAAGAATGAACTGTGTTTCTCACACTCGCAACTATAAACCTACAGGTTTATATGTTTGCCCCACCTTACATATCTTCTGTTTTCTCTGATTACGTTGTTGAGGTGTTTAAAAAGTGTATATCTACCTGCTGGTTTCAGGGGAAGGCCAGGTGGGGAACAGCCAGAAGAGTCCTGTTTCAGTAAAATAGCTGACAGCTCATTCTGTTTGCCTCTGGCTATTAAACTTTTATGCTTATGGATTAAAATATTTGGACAATGATGTGTCCATCCAAATATTTACAAAAACTACAATTTCTATGAAGTGGTTATGAACTTTTTCTGCAGTGCAACTAAATGGGATGTCTGATCCATGTCTCTGTCAACTTTGAAAATAACTACAAAATAAAACTTTATTTTATTGGTTAAAAAATAAATAAATAAATAAAATAAAAAGTGTATATCTACTTTATCCTTTTTTTTAAAAAAAAATATTTTATTGATTTTTTTTTTACAGAGAGGAAGGGAGAGGGATAGAAAGTTAGGAACATCAATAAGGGAGAAACATTGATCAGCTGCCTCCTGCACACCTCCTACTAGGGATGTGCACACAACTAAGGTACACGCCCTTGACCAGAATTGAATCCAGGACCTTTCCGTCTGCAGACCAATACACTATCCACTGAGCCAAACTGGTTAGGCTACTTTATTCTTTTTAACTACAATTTAGTATACACTATATAAGTAGGTCACATTCTTATTCATTTTTATCTTGATGCATATTATATGCATTTATTTCAGAACTACAAGCAGTATAGGCAGGGGCAATAAAAATATCTATTTAATAGTATTAGACTATGTCATATTGGCAATCTGAAACCTCCTTTTGGAACATATTATATATTCCTAAAAAAAGAATGGAATGCATAGGCTAGTATATAAACACATGTAAAGATTAGTTACTTTCTAGTAAAGCTCTAAACTTACTTCAATGTCTCATGCCTGTCTGGATGATGCTGAATCACTTTTGCCAAAGCATCATATTCTGAAAGATATTAAATTAAGGTTTTTTTGAACCTGGATATCAAAACAAAATGTATAATATCACAAGTCTTTCCAAATCACTTTCCTACTTCATAAGGAAGTGAAAACGTTTAGGATGGAAAAAGAACTGCCAGTGCCACTTGACTCAGCTGCAACTGAAATGACACACGACTTCAAGAGTTCCAAGCAAGCATGTTCCAAGCAAGTGTTCCTAGCTCCCACTCTGTTGTTCACTTACCTTTCCATGGCAGAATACAAGAGGCCAGTAGAGGCATACGTGATCTTAAGTCATTATTGATCAAATGGAGATTCTGAAGAGGACTGTATACTATGTGACCAGCAAATAAACCATCAAGGTAAATATAGCATACCATTAAGTTCAGACCTTACACAGCAGCTAATGGTACTTCTCATTCTAAAGGCAAAGATTTCTGAAACCTAGAAATGATTTAAAATTCAAGCACCTTGTTTCTGCTCCACTGAGACTTCCAGGATAACCCATGTAACTTCTGTCAACCTTTCTTATGAAATGATTAATAGCCGCATTCATTTGAAAGCCTCAATAGTCAATAAAAACAATGTATAACATTTAAAAAGAATTTACAATTGATATTATTAATTGGTACCGGTATATCTTGCAGTAAATTCACCACCAAAACTTGACCACATGCATTTTAGACTGAATTAAAAAAAAACAAGGAATTGAATATCATAATAATTAATTCGTTAAAAAGTAAAATTTATTGTTTTGAAAATCTGCATATTAATTCAACAAAAGTGTGATTTTTAATTTAAAAATTTTAGATTACAAAATAATATATACTCAATGTAAAAAAAAAAAAAAAAAAAAGAATTTAAGCCATAAAAATCTACAACCCCAAAATAACCATTAACATTTTCCATTTCCTTCTAGTTTTTCATATATGTCACAATTCTAATTATACATTATATTTCTTTCTGTTTTTCTTTCAATTTACATTATAGGAGGAACAATACCTCTGCCATTAAAAATCGTTTTGAAATTGTTTTTATGAACTGCAATAAGGACATACCCTAATTTAAGAACAAAGAGAACAAAACAAAACTTTAACCTTCCCCTTATTATTTAGGCAGCCTGTAAATATTTTCTTGCTTTGTACTTAATAAAAACTCAATGGGCTTAAATTATTTTTTAAGTAGTCCCATTAAACAAATAAACAACAAACAAAATCCTAAATTTAGTGTACTTGTGTAAATAGCCTTTGTAGATGAACCATAATATTATTTAGGCAAAAGGGTTTAAAGACAGAAAAAACAAATACTTAAGAAATATTTGGATAATCAATTCAATCCAGGATATTTTTCCATTGATTTTTTAGAGAGAGTAGAAGAAAGAAAAGACAGAAAAATATCGATGTGAGAGAAACACACCGATTGGTTGTCTCCTTCATTTGCCCCAACCAGGGCCTGGCTGGGGAGGAGCCTGCAACCAAAGTATGTGCCCTTGATCTGAATCAGACTTGGGACCCTTCAGCCTGCAGGACGACACTCTATCTACTGAGTTAAACCAGCAAGGGCTTCTAATTCTTTTTTACAATTCAGGCTAATTCTAGCCGAAGATTTTAACTCACAACATTAAAAAAAATCATGAAAATCCTAGTCAGTAATAAAGTATTTGGCACACTAACTAAATCCCACAAAACTCTTACCTTGGCGATTTTTTCGTATTCGTTTTGCTTGAAGAATCTGCTTTTTGCACTCAGCAATTTTTTCATGTGCTCCAGCAATGCTACATTCTGTAGAAAAGGTTTTTTAAGATAGTTGTAACATCTATAACCTCCATCCATTTTCAAATATGTGTTTTTAAATTAAATTCCATTGCTAATAAAATAGATGCTGACATTTTTTTTTAAAGTTGTAACTTAAAGTACTAAGATCATATTAAGATACATTTTTGTAACTAATTTTACTATATTCTTTCTATTAATACTATTATTGTCAATATTTTACTACTAATCAAAGAAAAATACTAAAAGCATTATTTCCTTAGGCCATAAAAATTAAAATTATAGATAAATATTAATTAATTTAGGTTCCTTTACCTATTTCTTTGTAAATTTTTTCATAATTTTCCATCTCTCTGAGATTCATATCATATACCAGCAAAGTTTTGCCCATGGAAAATTCACACTGGGACAGTGTGCTCAGCATACGTTGGTACTGGCTGTAACTAATAAAAAAGAGAGAAAAACAGAATAAAGATTTTTGTGGACTGCCAAAGTTGAACTATTTATAGTGTAAGCAAAGGTTTGCTAATTAAATTACATAAAGTTCTGAGAGAATCCTTTGCTTTACTTTAAATAATTTAGATGATCTGTCCTTTATGTTTTCTTTGCCCAAATATAGTACACTTGAGTTTATAAACTGCTTTAGCTAAAAATGCAAAGATGGTATTGTTGTTCCTATCAGTATAAGCTTAATTTAAACAGTTACCTCTTGTTTTAAATTCTTTTTAAAAATGTTTTAATCATATTTTTTACGTCTTCACAATTCTCACAATTTTTTTCACTCTATATGGTCATTGTCTATGTGAAAAGCTAATTCAAATGAAAATTTTTCTAATTTAAAAATTACTAAATATGTATAAAACTTTGCAGCAACCTATTAGCTTATTTAAAAAAGAACATTTCATTTAGATATTTAAACACATATCTGGTAAAGGTGACTCAATAATGAGCCTGGATTTAATCTTCATTTCTTCTTGTCATTATGCCTACTACACCTTTTAGCAAACATAAAGCAGGCCTCTCCAGAGAATTAAGGCCAGAAAAACCTACTCTTGATTAACCAAGAGTTGACTCAATTGGACATTTAAGGTGAGTGAAAATTTACAATATTATCAGGACTGTGTGTAAAGCCTAGAATCGCATGAGGATAATGGTATAGAAACAACAGCGAAAAGACATACCCCTCTTCCTGGGATCCAGAGTTGCACCATTTAATGAAACTTTTCACTAGCAGATTAATTCTGCGATCATCTCCAGCGCCATCTCCATCAATCAGGAGACGCTTCCGTATGACTTCGTCTGGAGGAAAGAACAATGTGAATTAAAGAGACCATCTGGCTCTTGTTAATTTCAGAAACAAAAAACAAGTGTCACTACTCGTTCATTCATCTGAAAGAAAATTAATAAAATGTAAATGTACTCTATGCCACTGAACAGTACACTTAAAATTTGTTAAAATGGTCAATTTTATATTATGTACGTTTTACAACTCTATTTATGCATACATGCACATAAATGAAGCTGTTGAGTGTGTGTGTGTGTCAGGCACTATCTTAGGCTGGGGTTACAGCAGTGAAAAGCCCAGCCCTCACAGAACTGTGATTCTACTGCTGATTTGTTGAGTAGAAATAATTTTCAAATACCACCAAGGAAATAAGCCAATAATTCTTGGAGAACTTTATTTGGAAAAACCTGTTCAGATGGAAGGAAGACTGAGTGCTCATGTCTCTGACTAGTGTGAGGTCCTCTGGTGGAAGGAACAGAGAGGAAAGAGTAGCAGCCTAGGAAAAGAGAAGAGAGATGGGGCAAAGAAAAAGAAATGAACTTGTTTTTTGTTTGTTTGTTTTTAAAATGTGTAATCTACTCATTATATATGCAATGTTCTTTCCCCAAAAGAATTTTTTTTTTAAAAGTCTGTCTCAGTTTTGCTCCAAGGCAAAGAAAAAAAGGAACTAGAAAAGCAGCAGAGATGATTATAATGAGTAAGTGGTCTGGCGGCCCTGAGCTATTCTTCCTGGACAAACCATGCTGGATCAAAACAAGAGAAAGACAATTTGAAACCACATCAAAATAATATTTTCATTAAGAAGAATGGCAAAGAACAAGTGACCTGATAATAAAAGTGTTAGCAAGAGTGCTGAGGAACTGCACTTCCATACACCGATGGGAAGTAAACCGTTCACTCTTTGCAGGGCAATGGGGCCAAAACAACACTATTTAAAAGGCACATTCTAGGAACTCATCCTCCCAGGCGTCTTCAAACTACGGCCCGCGGGCCACATGCGGCCCTCAGAGGAGTCTGATCCGGCCCGCCAGGTTTTTTGGGCAGTGAGCGCAGCCGAGGTGTTACAGTAGGAATTAGTAGTTCATATAGTCCGGCCCTCCAGCTCTCTGAGGGACCGTGATCTGGCCCCCACTTTAAAAAGTTTGAGGACCCCTGCTCCAGATACATGTGCACGCATGCACGCACAAAGATAAATGTAAAGGGATGTCCTTAATGATGTTTGTAGAGAAAAGATTGCAAACCTAAACATTCACCAGGAAGAAACTGCTTAAATTTATGTAATAGTATGCAGCCAAAAGAATAGTGTGGGTATATATAATGTTGCAAAAAAAAAAAAAAAAAAATCCCAGATTTTAAGTAAAATGAAAACAAAACAGGTGCAGAGCACACAGCTTGTTGCATTTGCATAGAAAAGGGGAGGGCTTGGTGTGTGTCTGTGTATGTGTTCACACATCACACATGTGGTATGCTTTTCTATTCAGAGAATATCTTTAGGAAAATAAACAAGAGACTGGTACTACTGATCGTTTCTGGTAAGAGAGACTGACAAAGGTTGAGAAAAGATTTACTTTTCTAAATCACTTTGCAGAATTGTGTTTGTTTGGTTTTTATCATGTGCATGCATTTTTTACAATAATGTAAAGTGTAAGTAATTCCTGGAGAGCCCGCCTGATGAATCAACAGCACAATCTTTAAACAACAGTTCCTTCCTGTGTGTGGGCAGCATTCTTGAGGCAGGTGCAGCTGAGATAAACTGTAGAGGGCAGATGGCTTGTTTTAAAATTTATTTTGTGACATCAGATAAACATTTTAGAATTGAGTTTTGTTCTGAGTCATGGCTTTGACATGCTGCTTGAAACAGATTCATCAGGTGTTTTAATTTTGCACTTTAAAATACCAATTAATGCTGTGTTTTTAACTACCAACAATGCTATTTGAGAAGACTGAGACAAAACACAGTACTTGAAAAGATTAAAATGCAGAAAATGAATTGACTTTTTAAAAACTACAAACATGCGCCCTGGTGGTGTGCTCAGTGGTTAGAACATTGGCCCACCCACTGAAGGGTCTCAGGTTCCATTCCAGGTCAAGGACATCTACCTCGGTTGCAGGTTCAATCCCAGCCCCGGTTAGGGTGTGAGGCAACCAATCAAGGTGTCTCTCTCACATCGATATTTCTCTTCCTTCTCCTCCCTCCTTTCCACTCTAGAAATCAGTGGGAAAATATCCTGGGGTGAGGATAAACAAACTTTGTTAAAATAAAAATATACAATGGATAAGCAATCTATTGTTCAATTTATGTATTAATATATTTTTATTGATTTCAGAGAAGGAGAGGGAGAGAGAAACATCAATGAGAGAGAATCATTTATGGAGCCCGCAACCTGGGCATGGAATTGAACCCAGGACCCTTCAGTCCACAGGATGACACTCTACCCATTGAACCAAACCAGCTAGGGCTGGTGTTCAATTTATACTGTTCAGTTCCTTTGTCAGTCTTATCATCTCTGCTCTTCCAGTTACCTTTCTCCCCACCCCAATCTCCTTCTGCCTCCCAGATGCCTAGACATCACACTTTATTGAGGACCAGGGATTTCAAATGTAAATGCATTCAGGGAACAGGAAATAAAGAACAGAGAAATTGGGGAGTGACTGCCCTGACTAAGGGGAAGCTACTACCAGAATGAGTTTTTCAAGAGATTTTGAAAAGTTTAGTAACAAAAAAATGTTTCAAGCAGATTTTGCAATCATTTCACCTGAATACTTAAAATCTGCGCACTTTTATGTATGTATGTAATATCCAATTACATTTTTGAAATATGTTTAGAACACTATAAAGGCCAAGTAAACTTGGGGAAGGGTTCATAAGGATCTGTCCTGTCTTGCTCATTCTTTTTCCTCCCTAACCTTTCACTGTGTCTACATTTCTGAAGCTCAATAAATATTTTAAAACTGGTTGTGGTGCCTGCCTGAGAGCATCTGCCCTCCAAAGAGAACTCTCAATAAACCACTAGTAAGTAACAAGCAACTATCTTATTTCAGGTCCTCAGCAGAGATTTCTCTTCTTGAACAAAAGACATGGATATTTGGTCAATGAGCAGATGCATCTATAAGGTGCCAGAGTAAGTTCTGAGGATGTGAAAGAAAACCTCGAGTTCTTCACTTTAGTTAGGGAAATAGGGCCACCCTATAAAAATAAATCATACATGTGATTGCTAACGAGTGACAGACACACACAGAAGAAATTAGGATGAGACTCCGTTTGGTTTGGGGATTTCAGGAGAAGTGGAATTTGAAGTGTTCTTTTGATATTTAAAACTTATCAATGAAAGCTAAAAGGCAAAAGTTCAAATATATATCCTGTAAATCAATAATCCTAGATAAACTTGCACATGTGCAATATGACATATGTCTATCAAGGGGACTAGTTAAATACATTTTGGTACAGGAATATGATGAAATACCATGAAACTATAAAAAAGCAAAAAAGTCAATGTACTGATACAGAGAAATCACTTAAGAAAACTTGGTGAAAGAGCAAGGTGAAGAACTATGTGTTTGGCATGTTTCCTTCATATAAAAATGAAGGGGAATAAGAATATTATATATTCACATGTGCATATGTTCACAAAGATACCCAAAATTATATAAAGGAATAAAAGAAGTTACTGTGAGACGGGCAAGGTAAGGGAACTAGATGAGCAACAGGTTGCAAAGTGGGAAACATGCTTTTCTATCATTTGATTTTTGAGCCCTATGCATACTCAAAATCTGTTAGCTGCTATTTGAAAAAGAAAGCTATGATATGGTAATGGTATCATAGGTGTTTGCATATGTTTAAACACAAAGAACTGAAGACATTAAGTATGCACAGGTCTTTATATATCAATTATGGCTCATAAAGCTGCTGGCGGAAAAGCAAGCGAAGGTCCTTTCCCAAGCTCCACTGCTGTGGGCTGCAGCAGCCGGATGTGGGCAGACTACCCAGAACACCAGGGAGGCTGGGAGAGTGAAGACAAAGCTTAGGAGCATGCACATGAAGCCATCGGTGGTCAGAATGGGAGTCTGCACTAGTCAAGGCCATGCTAGCAGACTTGGACCTTGCTGGTAGGCCACTGGGAGTTTCTAAAAGTTCCTGGAAAGGACTTCCCAGCAGGATTAAGCTGAGGGCAGTGTACAAAGTGGACTGCAACTGGGAAAAGGCCAAAGGTTGGCGGATGGGTGGGGGCTACAGCACATGTGCGGTTAGGAGCTGCCATGGCATGAACTGAAGCAGAGATTAGTCACAGGTCTCAGGAGGCAGGTCAGGGCTGAGCAGAGACCTGGTTAGGAGCAGGCAGAAGGCATGCGGAGGAGTCTGTATGACCGGTTCTGGAAGCGCAGAGGACTCTGACCAGTAAGCCAAGGCCATTTTCTGGCTTCAGCCCTGTCCTTTCTGGTAAGAGCAGAGAACATTTCCTCACAGCCAAACTTCTGGGCCTTGTCTTCTGGTTAGTCCACAATGTTTACTTGGAGGGTGTGTATGTATGAGACCAATATTTAACTTCACCTGTAAAATGGGAATAACATTACCCACTTTGTAGGACTTCTGTGAAACTTTACAAAATAAAAGTTTACAAAGGAGCATAATGCCTGTTCACAGAAGGAAAGTAGGGTAAAAAGATATCCTATCTTTATGTTAAATTTAATCCACAACTTGTATCCCTAAAAATGGTAAAAAAATGAGTAAATGTTGAGTATGTATCATAGATCAGTATACTCAGACAGATATATGCTATGCACTTATGTATAAAGTTTTGTCCAGTTATGATCTCTCACAAATTTGGTTATCTCAAACTTCATATGGCAAGGTTACAACATTCCTACCTTAAACTGAATGAGAGAGTTGCTGCCTAAAAAACTGTCCGGGGATGAGAATTACTGAAATCCCACACATAAAGCAGAGCACAGCTCCAAGAGCAACAAAATAAAATAAAACAAAACAAAGGGGTGAGGTGCCAGTTTAAAAACAGCC